CGCATATCAACACACTCGTATCCCGATGCAACGCTCATATCTCGATGCAAATTTTCCAAGCAATTCCTGCTCGTAACCCGAAAAACTCGTAACCAGGGCCACTCGTAATCCGAGGTACCACTGTATTAATAATGCTTTTGACTGGGCAGCAGACAATAACATGATGTTTAACAGTGATAAATTCCAGGTACTTAGGTACGATAAAAATGAGGAACTTAAACATAAAACAGGGTACAAAATACAATCAAATCTGTCCATAGTAGGAAAACAGCATGTAAAGGATTTGGGAATAATGATGTCTGACGACTCAACGTTTAGGGAGCATAACCAAGCAAATATTGCATCAGCCAGAAAAATGATAGGATGGATTACGAGAACTTTCAAATCCAGGGACCCCATCATAATGGTTGTACTCTTCAAACCACTTGTGCTGTCCTATCTTGAGTACTGCTCAGTACTCACTTTTCCCTTCAGAGCAGGAGAGATTGCTGAAATAGAGGGAATGCAGAGAATATATACGGCACACATAGACGCGATAAAGCACCTAAATTATTGGGATCGTCTCAAAGCTCTCCAAATGTACTCACTAGAAAGAAGACGAGAGAGAGATATCAAATAATATATACGTGGGAAAATACCGGAAGGCCAGGTCCCAAATCTACACAGTAAAATAACAACATACTGGAGTGAATGATATGGAAGAAAATTTAGAATAGAACCAGTGAAGAGCAGAGGTGCCATGGGCACAATCAGAGAACACTGTATAAACATCAGAGGTCCGCGGTTGTTCAACGTCCTCCCAGCGACTATAAGAAATATTGCCGGAACAACCGTGGACATCAAGAGAAAACTAAATAGTTTTCTTCAAGGAGTGCCATACCAACCAAGCTGTGGTGAATATGTGGGCCTGCGCGCTGCTCCAAGCATCAGTCTGGTGGACCAAACTCGTACAAGTCAAGCCTGGCCTCGAGCCAGGCTTGGAGTAGCAGAACTCCCAGAACCCCATCTAGCAGGTATCAAGCTTGGTTGATTAGACCATTATCCAAGAGGCCTGGTCAGAGACTGGGCCTCAGGGGCATTGTACCTCAGAATCATGGACAGGCAGGTAAATGACAGGTATGGTGCTAAGTTACTAATGAAGATATAGAGACTTAAAAGATTGTCATGGCCATCAAGATGACCTGGACAAAATAAGCTTATGGATCAACACCTGGCAAATGGAATGCAATGTGAATAAATGCCACTTCATAGAATGTGGAATAGGAGAATAAAGGCCCTACACATCCTACAAATTATATGGAAACACATTAAAGAACTCTGACCAAGAAAGAAGTCTAGAGGATGGTTCTGGATAGTAGACTGTCACCAGATGACCACATAAAGGACATTGTACGAGGAGCATGTGCTTTGCTCTCCAAATTTCAGAATTGCTTTTAAATACCTGGATGATAAAATATTTAAGAAACTGTTCACGAATTTTGTGAGACCAAACTTGTAATATGCAACAGTTGTGTGGTGTTCATATCTCAAGAAGCACATCAATAAACTGGAAAAGGTGTAAAGACATGCCACAAAGTGGATTCTGGAACCAAAATACAAGAGCTTGTATTTTGTATAAATACAAAATACGTAATTCTGTGGTGCGGGTTCGATTCCCGCACGAGGCAGAAACAAATGGGCAAAGTTTCTTTCACCCTGAATGCTCCTGTTACCTAGCAGTAAATAGGTACCTGTGAGTTAGTCAGCTGTCACGGGCTGCTTCCTGGGGGTGGAGGCCTGGTCTAGGACCGGGCCACGGGGACACTAAAGCCCCGAAATCATCTCAAGATAACCTCAAGATAGCTATAGGTAGTAGCTAGAGATGTTAAATATGCTAAAGCTAAAAGATTGAAGAAAAAGTGGTGATATGATGACTGTTATACCTAGAAAATAGTAACAGAAATTGATAAAGAGGAATTCTTGAAACCTGCATCTTTCAAGAACAAGATACAGTGGAACCTCTATTAACGAGTGGCTCTATTAACGAGTTTTTCCAGTAACGAGCAAGCCACTCGCAGCAAATTTGTCTCTATTGACGAGCTCGTCTCTATTAACGAGTGAAACCACATGGCGCTTCCTAGCGTCTCGCGGGTTCTCGCAAATTCTCGGACGCCTCCGACGCCAGTGTTGTTGTTGTATCTCACACGACAAGCATCCCTCTGGATTTATTTGCGCTTTTCTCTGTGTTTTTGTGGTTTGGTGACTGCAATTTGTAACGCACGATGTCGCCAAAGAAGCTGGTTGCTAAAGACAGTGTTGGCAAGGGGAAGAAAGCAACAATTACTGTTGAAGTGAAGAAGGAAATAATAGCAAAGCACGAGCGTGGTGTGCGTGTGGTTGATCTCGTCAGGGAGTATGGCAGGACCTCATCAACAATTTGTACCATTCTGAAGAGGAAGGAACAATTTAAGACGCTTGAGGTGGCTAAAGGAGTTACCAAGGTTAACAAGAAACGTCCACAAATCCTAGAAGAGGTTGAAAAGCTACTGCTAGTCTGGATGAATGAAAGGCAATTGCATGGCGATAGTGTCTCTGAAGCTCTTGTCTGTGCAAAGGCCAAGAAGTTGTATGTGGACCTTGTCAGGAAGACACCAGGTGCGTCGTCTGAAGAGGAGGAGATATTTAAGGCAAGCCGTGGATGGTTTGAGAAATTTAGGAAGAGAAGCGGTATCCACAGTGTTGTTCGACATGGGGAGGCTGCCAGCTCTGATAAAGCTGCTGCTGAGAAATTTGTACCAGAGTTCCAGGAATTTGTTGCTGAAAAGGAGTTCTTGCCCCAACAAGTTTTTAATTGTGACGAGACTGGCCTGTTTTGGAAGAAAATGACGAAGAGGACCTACATCACACAGGAGGAACAATCTTTGCCTGGCCACAAACCGATGAAGGATCGGCTTACTCTCGTCCTCTGCGCCAATGCAAGTGGCGATTGCAAGGTCAAGCCGCTGCTGGTCTACCACTCAGAAAATCCACGCGTGTTCAAGGCATGTAAAGTGTATAAGGCGCGACTGAATGTGATGTGGAGGTCCAATAAGAAATCCTGGGTCACGCGGATATTCTTCACTGAATGGATCAATGATGTTTTTGGCCCCTCAGTGAGGAAATATCTTGAAGAGAAACAGTTGCCACTCAAGGCCTTGCTTGTGCTTGATAATGCTCCTGCACATCCTCCACAGATGCGAGATGAATTGTATCCTGAAAATCAGTTCATCACCATCAAGTTCCTTCCTGCCAATACCACTCCACTCCTCCAACCTATGGACCAGAAAGTCATTGCAAACTTTAAGAAACTCTACATGAAGGCCTTGTTGGAGAGGTGTGTTGATGTGACCGACAATACAGGGCTGACCCTCAAAGAATTCTGGAAGAACCACTTTAATATCCTGGGTGCCTTACGTTTGATCGATAAGGCCTGGGAAGGAGTGACAAGGAGGACCCTTAACTCTGCTTGGCGTAACCTGTGGCCTGAGGGTGTCCCTGAGCGAGACTTTGAAGGTTTCGGTCCTGCACCTGCATCTGCACCTGTGGAAGACCCAGAAGTGCATCTAGTGGATGATATTGTTGCTCTGGGGCAAACTTTGGGTCTGGAGTTGGATGCTGCTGATGTGCAGGAGTTAGTGGAGGAGCACAGTGAGGAACTGACCACTGAGGAACTCCTGGAACTTCAGAAGGAGATTAATCAAGAGGAGGCACAAGAGTTCTCATCAGGGGAGGAGGAGGTACGGGAGGATGCTGCTGCCTCTTCAAGTGAGATCAGGGAAGTGCTAGGAATGTTTGAAAAGGTGACCGCATTCTTAGAAAAACATCACCCTGATCAAGCAGTGACAACCCGATGTGTGAACATGTTTAATGACAATTTACTGTTTCGTTTTAGGGACATCCTAAAACAAAGACAAAAGCAATTGTCAATAGAAAAGTTCTTTCCGAAAGTAGAGAAAAGAAGAGCCAGTGATAGTGAACCACAACCCGGTCCCAGTGGGGTGAAAATCCCAAGAAGAGAGAGCCCACCTGACTCAGAGGTGGATTCTCCTTCCACACCATAACCCCTCTCCTCCTTCCCACCTCCCCATCGTCTCCCTCAAGCCAGCAACGACTCTTCATAAGGTAAAGTAAATGTTAAAACAGTACAACAAAACATTTATAATTACATGTGCAGTATTATATTGACATTAAAAAATGTCATACAAGTATGGATGTTTTTGGGAGTGGAACGGATTAAATTTATTTCCTTTATTTTAAATGGGGAAATTTGTTTCCAAAGACGAGTTTTCCAGGTAACGAGCTCGGTGCCAGAACGGATTAAACTCGTTAATAGAGGTTCCACTGTATCATAGATTCAAGCTAAGGAAATAAGTGTCAAAAATAATAGAAAATTGTCTTTTGGAGTCATAGTTAAAGAGAGTTGGAACAAGTTAAGTGAGAAGTCAGTGGATGGAAAAGCTGTCAGTAGTTTCAAAGCGTGTTATAACAAGGTACAGTAGTTATCTTGGGAAGTTATCTTGGGAAGTTATCTTGGGATGATTTCGGGGCTTTTTAGTGTCCCCGCGGTCCGGTCCTCGACCAGGCCTCCACCCCCAGGAAGCAGCCCGTGACAGCTGACCAACACCCAGGTACCTATTTTACTGCTAGGTAACAGGGGCATAGGGTGAAAGAAACTCTGCCCATTGTTTCTCGCCGGCGCCTGGGATCGAACCCAGGACCACAGGATCACAAGTCCAGTGTGCTGGCCGCTCGGCCGACCGGCTCCCCTTACTGGGAAGACGCGACACTACGAGCGTAGCTCTCATTCTATAACCTAGGTAATTACCTTGACATACAGAGGGAGCTAATGGGAAAGGGTATTTGGAAGTGGACTGGGATGGGATATACATTGCTATCTTGATGTTAATATGAACATAGTTAATAGTATACAGTATGCCTTATTATAGAATGCTGTAATGATGTTGGTAATGTTATTTTTGCAGATTGGTTATGCTGTCACAGCACGTATCAGAAATCATGCTGGGGATGAACAAACTTACGTCTCTTCCATCGTGGATTGGAAATTTCCAGCATTTGCAATTCCTTGACTTACAAGCAAACCAGCTCCGTGATTTACCCACTGATTTGGCCGAGCTATTGTATCTTCGTGAGATAAACCTTACAGCTAACAGGTATACTTCATAAATATTAATTTTAGTAAGTCTTTCAAGTTTATGAAGTATTTGTATTTTACTACAAATGTTGGGATATAGTAAGATGGAAGGCAGTTAGGTTTGAAGATAAATGAATGAAATTGATGAAAGTATTAAGTTCAAGCAGAGGAATGACTGATCTGGATTTTAGGTTGTGAATGAAGTAGGAAAGGTATTATTTCTGAGGGGGGGGGGGTAGCCCCTACGGTTTCCCGGAGCTATCCAGGCTGATATGGATATCCCTAACTTTGGCATCAGTCGATGTTGGTGGAGTTCTAGGCCTACCAAGGACCATGAGCTAAAACCTTGCCCCCCTCAGAGAGGCACGAGGAGCAATGGCTTATAGCCAAAATTACAATGCACATGTAATTTTGGAACATTCTATATATGCCATTGACCAGGACAGGCAACCAGAAAGGTAAGCGCCCCAAAACAAACCCCTATTCTGGTTAAAAACGACAAAAATAGACAAACTAGTGGACAGAACTCTCCAAAATGAAGATAAGCAAACAAGCATGACATCACACAAGCCACGCCTCTGTCTGCGCAGCTCCCCCCACCCCGGGATGGGGAAGGGGGAGCCCCAGACCCCAGCACCGGCGATCCACTCTGCAGTTCTTCGGCTGATGGGATACAGCTTGGTCGTTGTGGCTCCAGATCCGGACTTTTGTTGTACTGTTCCCTGTTTCAGTACTGCTCTTACAGTGGTGTGCAAGCTGGGAGTCATATTCACAAGTACCCGGGCTGCATGTGCTTAGGGTCACCTTCCCTGAGTGCCCTGTACGTACCACCCTTGGGGCTTGGAGTTCCTTTCCATAAGTCACCTTGGGTCTACCTCTCTTGGTCTTTTGCTGCTTGGCGATTGAATGCCCAGAGTGTTTTGGGGGGGAAGGGGTTCCTCCCTAGTTTTCCTTGTGGTAAGTGGTAGTTTCTGTGGGGAGCCCCTAGATAAATGAATGAGCTCCAGGCTTCCTGGAGCTTATCAGGCTAATGTGTTTTATATTAGACAGGGACATTAGCTATGAAGTTCGGGCCTGCCAGGGACCATGAGCCAGAACCTGGCCCCTTCAGAGAGGTTTCAGGGAGCAATGGCCCTGGAAAACCCCCTTGTGGTTCAGGTTTTTCCTTATCTGATATCGACCAGGGTTAGGCACCCAGAAAGGTAGGCATAACAAAACAAACCCCACATGGTAAGAAACTAAAACCAAAAACCAAACAGAGAGGTAGAACTTCCTTCAATCCCAAGGAAACAAGCAAACAAGGAAACATCACTCTCTACTGCCGCGCCGCTCATCCGCGCAGCCTTCCCCTCCCCAAGAGGGGGAGCCCGGACCTCACCGCGCCAGCTGCATAGCACTCCAGTTCATAAGCTAAAGTCAACCGGGACAGACGCTTCTCTGGCCTCAGTTTCCTAGGCGGTGTTTGCCTTTGTGGCGCTCACTGCTGTGTTTTTGTGTTGTGTGGTAGCCAGGTGTTCCTCATTAATAACAGTGCACTTAGGGGCTTCCTTCCCTAAGCACCCTGTGAGTACTGCTCCTGCGTGACAGGGTTATCTTTCCTGGGGTGTTTGGGCACCATTCCCGTAGAGGTTCTTGCTGCTCAGCATTTGCCTCACCCTTGGGGCCAGCTGGGGCTTGGGGCCCCTTGTTTGGCCCTGGGTAGGGACTGATATTGTGCTGGTTAGGGCGTCAAGGTGTTGTGCGGCCTGCCACGCACGCGACGACCGGTTCCTGTTGCCTCTGGGGATGGTGTACTTTTGCGGGGTTTTTCTTTTGTTTTTCTTTTAATTTTCCTGGTGGGGGTCTGCCTAATGTGGCTCTAGTTCCACTAGTAGTGTTTGGCGGCCCTCTGCTAGGCCCCCGTGATTGTACATGTTGCAGGGGTTTTCAGTGTTATACTCTACCCCTTGTTAATTTTGGGTGTTTAACCAGTTAGCAACACCTTGCCCGAGCTTCCCATAGTTGTTACCCTACGGGCCCTTGAAAACCCTGTCGGGGCTCGATGAACCAGTGGATGCATCTTCCGGGTTCCAACCCGTCTTGTGCGAGTTCGTTGGTTGCTGTGCCCTTGTCTCAGGGTGACAGTCGCCTCCTTTACCTCCGTCATGCTGCCTGTTGGGTCACTAACACCTTGACCCGGAGTCTTGTGAGTTGTGTTCTCTGCTTGTTCTCCAGTACTCTTATGATGTCCTTACTGTTAGAGTACAGGCGGCATCCACGATGCATGCTCAGTTTAGGTTGCTGCAACGCGCTAGGTTGGTTTCCCACCCGGATGCCTCGGGGCCGTCCCGTTTTGGTTAGGTGTTGTTCGCCCCTTTCCCTTCCCTGTCTCCGGTTCCAAACCGTCTGCGGTTTTCGGGGTTGGGGCAGGGTTTAGTTGGTGCTGAGACTCGGGCGGCATCGGGGGCTGACCTGTTCGGGTTCGGGACGGAGGCTTTCGAACCTGCTCCTCCTGCCGAGGCTTCTGGGTCTAACCACCGGCCCTTTCTTTGATACCTTTTCCCGGGACTCTTCCTTTTCTTTAATGGCAGAGGGCATGGAGGACAGCTCTGCCCCGGGGCCTCTGTTGCAGATTTCCGGGGCTGTAGGGGGTGCCCGCTAGCAGTTCTGGGGCTGTTTGCCCCTGCCTGGGTTTTCTGCTTTCTGGGAGAGTGGTTTTTGTCCCTCTCGTCTGCCTACATCCCACATTTGCTGGCGTGTTTTCAGATCTCTTGTATCGGTCGCGTCTCCTTTTGTTATGGTGGACATTTTTTTCTGTGGGTTTCTTCCCTGCCTGGCTACCGGGACAGCGCTGCGGTTTGTTTATTTGTGCCTGGGTGTGCAAGCTTGCACACCTCAGCTGTAACAGCGCCGCAGGAGAGAGAGACAAGGAAGCCCTCCGAGAGTCTCACACAAGACCCAGCCAAGTCCGAACCTGAGTGGGAACCAAATAGGACTTCCTCCAGTTCACCAAGAACCCGAACCCGGCAAGCTGGGAAAGAACCAAATCCCAGGCGAGCAGACACGTGGACTGGCTGGGAGCCCACACCAGCCAGTCGTCAAGGTAAGCCAGAACCCAAACCCCAAACAGATGCAAACGGGTCACCACGACCGTGGTAAGGCGTGGGAACACTCGAGGTGCTAGATTCAAGCCGAATGGAAGGCAATGAAAGTGGTAAGCTTGTCACCCCACGACAAAACCAAGCCAGTCACTGAACCCGGGATGAATCGGGACATGCCAATATGCGTCCTGGAGGTCCAGAGACACCATCCAGGCACCCAGCGCCAAAAGCAGCCGGACCTGAGACAGAGTGGTCATTCGAAACGAGGGGCAAAAGACCCAGGGATTCAGACGAGACATGTCCAGTATGAATCACAGATCCGCACAATCCCGTTTCGGAACTGAAAACAGGCGGGAAACCCGCCTGAGGGATGTTGTTGTTTTTAACCACACCCAAGCGAACCCACTCCCGGATGACCTGACAGAGCACAGGAGAAGAGACCTGCCCTGCCAGCCCCAATCACCCTGGAGGAGAAGGAGCGACCTAACGCCACCGCAGCCGGGAAGAAACTACCCAAAATGCCCATGAATCGTGAGACCAGGCGAGAGCAAAAAGCGCGAGCCTCCCCCTATCACCCCGTCAACAGGGCAACCTTGACGGCGACCCACGAAAAGGCCAACCGACGCTCAGAGCAATCGCTGTGCCGACCAGACGCCAACGGCTCCAGTGGAAGTGCCGGCCCAGAACCTGGCACTACTGGCTTACGACGACCGAAGGAACCCCGAGACCTGGCATGACCTTTCTGGGCAGGACCACCACGGCCCCCCCCCCCCCCCCCCCGGAGAACAAACAAGTCCAACATAGGCCGGCAACTAGACAAAGCCGCTTGCAGAAAATGCACCACCGCAGACTCTGCAAACATCAACAGATATAACAGGGACTTAAATCAAAGAGCCAGCGCTCAAGCCGATTCCAAAAATTGGACGAGCACCGCCCGTCGGCACACGAGATAAGAAGCAGAGAGATACCGCCTTCCTCAGAATCGGTGCAAACAACTTCAACAAGGCATCCGACGCCCAAGCTGCCGAAGCAAACATCGACTCAGATCCCAGTCCCTGCACATCCTTGCTGAGTCAGTCCGAAGACAGCTCCAGCAGAGAAAAGAAAAGCAAGACTGAAGCCAAATGCCCACGGGCGCGCAAGTCCTCGACAACCAGGGACGCCGAAAGGGGTGAAACCTGCGCGTGAAGCTGAATTTGACCGACATCACAAGGAAGTACGGGGGCGAACAAGCAAGCATTGAGGTGCTCAAATTCGCCCCTAGATAAACCTGAACAACCATTGTCATTTCCCGCCATTCAAGCGCACGGGTCCAACAGAACGAATGCCATGCCCCCAACAAAAAGAAGGGGCAGTCTACCAACCAGGAAGACTCCGGCACTCGCAACACATCCTGATAAAAAATAAGGAGCCAAACTCAAAAGAAGAAGGATCCATTACCGAGGCGTAAGCCGGGTCTCGCAAGAGATAAGCCGCAAGGGCTTCCCACGCCACCTTTGATGTGATGTTGGAAGCCAAAAACCTCTGGAAGGAAGGAAGGAAGGAACCCAAGGGAACCCGGAACCGAACTCGTGGAGGAGTTGCATCCACATCAAATTGGTACAGGGAGGGGGGATAGGAAAACCCCTACGACTGTAACAACAAGCCCCACGCTGAGGGTACCAACACCCAAGCAGGGTCAAACTGGGCCCAAGCACCCCAAGTTGACTCCTCCCCAGCCCTGGGAACCGTCATGTCAGGACCCGGAGCCGAGGTGTCCTCCAAACCCGCTGCCTCTGAAGAAAAGGCAGAGTCCGTCGGGAAAGTCGGGATGAAGGGGGCCGCTGGCATAGCCCAAAGGCAGGGTCAAACTGGGCCCAAGCACCCCAAGTCGACTCCTCCTCAGCCCCAGGAACCGTCATGTCAGGACCTGGGGCCGAGGTGTCCTCTAAACCCCTCTACCTCTGAAGAAAAGGCAGGAGGAACAGGCTCGAGTGCCTCCGCCGCTGATCCGGAAGGGGTATGCCCCGAAGCTGCTTGAGACTCACCTCCAGGTAAACCCTGCCCCGACTCTAAAACCCTCAGACGTTTGGGAGCCGGGAGCAGAGGGGGGAGGGGGCAGCATGAACCACAGCAGGGGAAGAACTAGGGGATGCAGACGAAATCAAAGTCGAGGCGACTAACACCCCCAAGTCCGAGTCCCTATAACCAAAGTGGGGCAGCTGCGGCATCTGGAAAGGCAACTGACCTTGCGCGTTGCAGCAACCTAAACCTTGCGGGCAACGCCGAAGTTGCTGGCACCCGAATATCCTCTCATTATACTGGGTGAATTGGAGTACAAGCAAGGAACACCACTCGCAGGACCTGCATCTGCCTTGCGTCAGATGCTGCATCACCGACTGCCTCTTCGGGTTTTTCAGGGTTCAGTGCCTTGGCACTTATCTGAGCCCTCGCTTGATGTGTTCATGGATGCATCATCTCTCGGCTGGGGCTTTGTGACCAGTGCTCACCAGGCCGGCCAGGGGCGGTAGGGTACATCCTTCCGTCGGGCCCACAACATGGTGCAGGAGTTCGCGGCGGTGTGGTTTGCACTTCGGAGGATTTGGGTCGCCCGCGGATCGATGATCCAGCTCCGTTCGGACTGCACACTGGTGGTTCATTGCCTGAACCAAGGGGGTTCGATGCGGTCCTTGGCTCTTTGGGGCTGAGCGCTTCGGGTGATTCATCTGCTGAGTTCTCGGGGTTGGGCTCTCCTGGCGGTTCAGGGAGTGTCCAACGTCTTGGCGGAAGGTTTGTCTCGTTTCGTTCCCCTTTCCCTGGAATGGACGGTCAACGCTGACTCGTTCAGTTGGCTCTGCCAGATGTTCGAGCGCCCCGAGGTGGACATCATCGCGCCGGCGTGGTCGCGGCAACTTCCGCTATATGTGGCGCCCTTTCCCGACTGTGAGACTGTCGGGGTCAATGCCTTTCGGCAGGACTGGTCGAGGTGGGTGTTTCTGTACCTCTTTCCCCCGGTTCAGCTGTTGCTCTTGGTCCTGACTTGCTTGGAGACTTACCAGGGGACAGTAGTCCTCTTGGCCCCTTGGTGGCCGGCCCAGCCGTGGTTTCAGGTGCTGCTTTCTCAGTGCTCGAACCCGGAGTTTTTCACGCGGCTGCACCTCTTTCAGCAGATCGGACCAGTGCGTCACGTGGCTGGTTTGATCTTCTCCAAGTTTTCGCATATGGTATTTTTGACTCGAGTTTATCATTGTTCCTATGGTGATCAGGATGCTTCCTTGTTAGTGTCCCACCTGCAGGCTTCGTCTCGGCGGCAGTATGAAGTTTCCTGCTGGTCCTTCCATTTCTTTTTGACTCTTCGTCGTTGTGCTTTGCTTTCTGTTCAGGTGGTGGTGTCCTTTCTCTCTCTTAGTTGTTCCAGGACCGTCATCTTATGTTGAAAACGGTTGCCTCGTATCGTGCGGCACTGGTGGAGCCGCTTCAGCTTGCTTTCGGTATTGATGTTACTTCTGCGCCGTTTCGCAAGCTGTCTCGTGCGTTGTTTTACCTCTGGCCTGCGCATGCGCCACCTGAGCTGTTCTGGGCGTTGGACAGTGTTCTCCTTTCTCTCTCCTCAGTTTGTTATGGCCCCTTCGGTTTAGTGTTGTTTCTCGAAGGCTCTTTTCCTGTTGACTTTAGCCTCTGGGGTTCGAGTTGGGGAGCTTCATGCTCAACTCCGGCACAGGGGTGTCTGCTCTTTCGGTCGTGGCAGTTGGTTTGTTCGTCTGCAGCCGTCTCCTTCTTTTCTGGCGAAGAATGAGACGGCTGCTTTCCGGAAGGGTCCTTGGATTGTTGATGCTTGGTTGGTCAGGCCAGGGGTGCATCATGCTTTGTGTCCAGTTGTGACCCTCCTCCGTTATATGCATGCCACGGCTTCTGTGTCCGGGGACGCACTTTGGGTTGATCCAGTTTCCCTCGTTCCCTGTTCGCGGGTGCGGGTCTCCCAGGTCGTCCACAAGGTTATCAAGGCTAGCTAGCCTGTGGTCTATCCCCGTGCCCATGACGTTTGTAAGTTTACAACTCTTGCTGCCGTCTTTGGCAACATGTCCTGAGCTGAAATTCGGGCACAGGGTTTTTGGTGGTCGAGCAGGGTCTTGGCTGCGCTCTACCTAGTGCACGTTCCTGGGCCTAGTCGGGCCTGTGTCGCTTAGGGTTGGCGGCTTCAGCCTGTCTCGACTTCGAGTTGAGGTGTGAAGCACTGGCCGCCTCCCGGATAAGTCCCTTCCTTTATGTTGTTTTTGGTGAAGTAGCTCTGGGAAGTCATAGGGGCTCCCCTGAGAAAACCAGGGTTGAATGTAATGAAACGCCATTTTCTGGGTGAGTCCCGGAGGCTACCTGCAACCCTCCAGTCGACGGTTTTCGCGTATTTTGATATCCAGCCTTGGAACTGCAATGTGGATCGCCTATGTGGGGGTCTGGGGCTTCACCTTCCCCCTCCCAGAGAGTATTGAGAGAGGAACAACAAGAGGAATTCCTACCTTTTTGGGTGCCTGACCTGGTAGGTGGCCGACATAGACTCCTTCCAATTACACTGGGATGTCTATAAGCCATTGCTCCTCCTGCCTCTCTAGAAGGGTCCAGGTTCTGGCTCTGGTCCCCGGTAGGCTAGAACTCCATCGATTGACTGTTGTCTTGGTCTAATACGGTATATGCACATCAGCCCGATATAGCTCCTAGGAACCAAAGGGGCTAATTACAGAAAAGTTTTTGGCCATCTCCACCAATATTTCACACTCCAACTTTAATTTGGAGAATCCCTAGAGTTAAGAATTTAATCCAAAGAGAATCAGATGAGAGGTGTGAATAACTAATAATATTTCTGATATCATTTAACTTCGATCTACCTCAAGATAACCAAGAAGATACACCGGACCAGCCTATGTCCGTCTTGTATCCCCAGACCATTTCTCCTACATTTTGGGTAAGGCTTGCCTAAGGATGTGGTTTCTACCTCTAAACAGACATTATCTTATAGGTATAGAGTATTTGGACAGTTATCTGACAGTTTAGTGGCTTTTGAGTCTTGTGAACCCAGTAGTTGTCTGTACAGCTTTGCTGAAATGGCAGAATGTTATTTGCTTCCTCCACTTTTTGTGAAGGGGACACGTTTTGGCTCTGGACTCTAGTAGGCCAAATGAACTCGTTCAACTGATGTGTTGGATAGATTTGAAGCAATCTCAGTGATATCAGTACAGTGAGCCACTGTTTTCTCACGGACAGTGAGAAACATTGTTTCTGAGTTACTCTATCAGAAAGGAATACTTTATGGATCTTTCATGTTTTCTTTCCATAATGATGATGCATTGGCTTCTGGTGGCTGCTGCCCAACCAACAACCTACCTTGAGGTTACCTTGAGGTGCTTCCGGGGCTTAGCGTCCCCGCGGCCCGGTCGTCGACCAGGCCTCCTGGTTGCTGGACTGATCAACCATGTTTAAGTTGAAAATTATTATTTTCAGGTTTGACCAATTGCCAGCTTGCCTTTATGAAATGGCACAGTTGGAGATACTGTGTGCTGCAGATAACCAGATCAACGCACTTTATGTTGAAGGTGTGAGCAAGTTGAAGCGTTTGGCAACACTTGATCTACATAACAACAATATAGATTTTGTTCCTCCACTTCTAGGAAACATGACACAGCTCAAGTGAGTTACTATTCTTTTCTTTTGTTGAAAAAGTCATTTCATGTAGTGTAGAAAAAGTATACTTTCATAAATTCTTATTAATTATAACTTTTACTTTAATTATTTGCAGAATGGTTTATTTCAGTTACTCTTACTTCAGTAGGTATATCAATATGGATTATTTAACTTAACACTTTCATGCTCATGTCATGTTTGTCATGTTTATTCTTTTGTATAACAGATTTCTGTTTATATCATAAAAATTTACGAACTTATTGACTTGAAACTTGAATAACACCTTCGTTTGCACCAAAAAATGATTGATATTGACTTCAGAAGAATTGGCAGATGTGAGAAGGAAAAAAAAGTACCCAGTAAGGATGACGTTGAAAGGCGGTCAAAGCTCTGGACCGAAGTACTCAGAAATAAGATCAAATGACAAAATGGTGAGGGAGAAGAGTGGTCACTAAGGGGGACCAGTCACAGAAGACCAGGAAGGATAAGACATGACCAGAGTGTGGTGAGGGAGAAGAATGGTTACTAAGGGGGACCAGTCACAGAAGACCAGGAAGGATAAGACATGACCAGTGTGTAATTACCTAAGTGTAATTACCTAAGTGTAGTTACAGGATGAGAGCTACGCTCGTGGTGTCCCGTCTTCCCAGCACTCTTTGTCATATAACGCTTTGAAATTACTGACGGTCTTGGCCTCCACCACCTTCTCACTTAACTTGTTCCAACCGTCTACCACTCTATTTGCGAAGGTGAATTTTCTTATATTTCTTCGGCATCTGTGTTTAGCTAGTTTAAATCTATGACCTCTTGTTCTTGAAGTTCCAGGTCTCAGGAAGTCTTCCCTGTCGATTTTGTCAATTCCTGTTACTATTTTGTATGTAGTGATCATATCACCTCTTTTTCTTCTGTCTTCTAGTTTTGGCATATTTAATGCTTCTAACCTCTCCTCGTAGCTCTTGCCCTTCAGTTCTGGGAGCCACTTAGTAGCATGTCTTTGCACCTTTTCCAGTTTGTTGATGTGCTCCTTAAGATATGGGCACCACACAACAGCTTCATATTCTAGCTTTGGCCTAACAAAAGTCATGAACAATTTCTTTAGTATATCACCATCCATGTATTTAAATGCAATTCTGAAGTTAGAAAGCATAGCATAGGCTCCTTGCACAATATTCTTTATGTGGTCCTCAGGTGATAGTTTTCTATCTAGAACCACTCCTAGATCTCTTTCTTTATCAGAATTCTTTAAAGATTTCTCACATAATATATAGGTTGTGTGGGGTCTATGTTCTCCTATTCCACATTCCATAACATGACATTTATTAACATTAAATTCCATTTGCCAAGTGGTGCTCCATATACTTATTTTGTCCAGGTCTTTTTGAAGGGCATGACAGTCATCTAAATTTCTTATCCTTCCTATTATCTTAGCATCATCAGCAAACATGTTCATATAATTCTGTATACCAACTGGTAGATCATTTATGTACACAATAAACATCACTGGTGCAAGAACTGAACCCTGTGGTACTCCACTTGTGACATTTCTCCATTCTGATACATTGCCTCTGATTACTGCCCTCATTTTTCTATCAGTCAGAAAATTTTTCATCCATGATAGAAGCTTACCTGTCACCCCTCCAATATTTTCCAGTTTCCAGAACAATCTCTTATGTGGAACTCTGTCGAAAGCCTTTTTTAGGTCCAGATAGATGCAGTCAACCCAACCATCTCTTTCCTGTAATATCTCTGTGGCTCGATCATAGAAACTGAGTAAATTCGATACACAGGATCTTCCAGATCGACAACCATACTGTCTGTCTGATATTATATCATTTCTCTCTAGGTGTTCTACCCATTTAGTTTTGATTAGTTTTTCCAATACTTTCACTATTACACTTGTCAATGATACAGGTCTATAATTGAGGGGGTCTTCCCTGCTGCCACTTTTGTAGATTGGAACTATGTTAGCCTGTTTCCACCCGTCTGCTACGATTCCTGTACACAGGGATGCCTGAAAGATCAGGTGAAGTGGAATGCTGAGCTCAGATGCACATTCTCTCAGAACCCATGGTGAAACGCCATCTGGCCCAGCCGCTTTGTTCTTACCGAGCTCCTTGAGCATTTTTTCCACTTCGTCTCTAGACACCTCTATGTGTTCTATGTTGTTCTCTGGAATTCTTATTGTATCTGGTTCCCTAAAGATTTCATTTTGTACAAACACACTTTGGAACTTTTCGTTTAGTGTTTCACACATTTCCTTTTCATCTTCCGTGAATCTATTTCCCATTTTCAACCTCTGAATATTATCCTTTACCTGCAATTTGTTGTTTATGAATTTATAGAATAGACCTGGTTCTGTTTTACATTTGTCCGCAATCCCTTTTTCAAAATTTCTTTCTGCCTCTCTCCTCACTGCCGTGTAGTTGTTTCTCGCATCTTTGTATCGCTGGTATGTTTGGGGGTTCGGCCTCTTCCTGTATTGATTCCATTTTTGTGTCTTTCGGTCTCTAGCCCTCTCGCAATTTCTATTGAACCAATCCTGTTTCCTAGTTCTGCATCTCTGTTTTGGTATAAATTTTTTTGTGCCTTTATCATATATTTCACAAAACTTGCCATACATCTCATTCACTTCCTTGCCTAGCATCAAGTCTGTCCAATTATACTCACTAAAAAAATTTCTAAGGTCACCATAATGTCCTCTCCTGAAGTCTGGTTTTTCAACTGCTTCAACCTCCTTATTTTCTTCCAGCTTATAACGCATTGCATACTTTATTCCCAAAAAGACATGGTCACTTTTACCCAAGGGAGGAAGGTACTGAATGTCAAATATCTCTTCCTCCTTCCTGGTAAATATCAAATCTAGCATGGAGGGAACGTCCCCTTCCCTCATCCTCGTAGCTTGTTTAACATGTTGATACAAGAATGTTTCCAGGATGAGGTCTACAAATTTACAGGTCCAAAAATCTTCTGTTTTAGCTTCATATGCTTCCCAGTCTATGGATTTCAAGTTGAAGTCACCGACTATCAACAGTCGTGATCTATCGTTATCCGCTCTCGCTATAATCTCTCTCATTATTGTTATAAGACCTTCACGTTTACTATCTAGCTCCTCCTTTGACCATGTGCTGCTTGGCGGTGGACTATATGCATTTATCATCATTAGTTTATCATCCTCATAGCAGATCTCTAGTGCTATTATGTCAACTTCTTGTGGATTGGCAGTCATTATTTCCTTCACCTTTAGGTGTTCTTTTACCAGCACAGCAACGCCACCGCCTTTCCTAATTTTTCTGTCCCGTCTCCAAATTGAGTAGCCCCTTGGGAATATGACCTCATTTAAAATTACATCTTCAAGTTTTGTCTCCGTGAGTGCAACAATGTCTGGTGTCTGCAGCTGTATTACATCACTTAACTCCAGTATCTTCGATCTCACTCCATCTATGTTGGTGTATGCAATCTTCAGGAACTTGTTCCCCTCTCCTTATTCTTCACTCCCCCTCTCTCTATTGATTTTGTTGATTTGCCTTTATGTACCACTTTACTGGTTTGCCTACCCCTATCACTTTGTAGAAAAAAGAATTTATTTCTTCTTCATTCCTGCTCTCATTTAAATGTTTTGCCTCGGCGAGGTTCAGTTTCAGCTTCTCTCTATCTTCTTTTGAAAGATCTCGTCTTAATGACCACCCTTTCCCATCCTCATCCCTTTGCAATTTTCTAGCATTCCTTAGTACTTCTTCCATCTGTTTGGCACCGTTTAGGGTGATCCTCAAAGGTCGATCTTTCCCTTTTACGTACCTGCCTATTCTCCTGTAGTCGCACACATTCTCTCTGTTTGTAAGACCTTCCACGAGGCCAACAATTTTATCTACTACTTTAGCTTCTTCTACAGCTCTTTCTGACCTAGATGTTATCGCCTTTTCTTTGCAGCCAAATATGATCAGGGACTTACTCCGATCAACTGTGTTTTGCACCAACTTCGGGTTAGATGCCAATTCTTTCCTCACTTCTAGCCTAATGTTTGTTTTATCTTGGTTGCTGCAGTGTTTGACTTCCTTTACTGCTTCTTCTATTTTTTCCTTCTCCTTGGCCACTTGTGCATAAGTGAGTTGCATATCTTTCTTGCACTGTTCTATTCCCTGTGTAACTTCCTCCATCTGTGCTGACAAAAGCTGTTTCTCCTGTTGAATTTCCTTGCCTAACCTATTGTAGTCATTTATGTTTAAATTTACTTTAACTTCTTCCAAAGCTATTTTTAAGAGTTTATTTTCTTCTTCCATGACTTTGCAATTTGTTTCCAATTGATTCTTATCCTTGCGCAAGTCTTTCACTAAACCCTCAAGACATAAAACTTTGCTATTCAAATGGTCATTACTTTCTTTCAATTTACTAATTATTTCTACATGAGAGTTCACTATAGTATCTAAATTTACCAACTTGTTATGTAGACTACTAATATCAATGCTTTCTTCATTGAATCCCTCAAAATCAAGCTCTGTTTTGTTTTTCCCCTTGCCAGTGGCCATCTTGAATGTTCTTCTCTGCACTGGAAACACTAGGGCAACTTTTTCTCATCCGATTTTTCACTTCCCTTGGCACTTTCCTGTTATCTCACCTATTTTTCAAGAGCACTATACCTTTATGTTCTCTGGGACACCACTCACTACCATCAACCTGTACTACAATACTTAGGATTGTTGAAATATGCTGGAGCTCCTCTGCTGCAAGTGTTGACCCTAGGGGTGTCACCTTTTTTTGTGTGGTGAGGGAGAAGAGTGGTCACTAAGGGGGACCAGTCACAGAAAACCAGGAAGGATAAGACATGACCAGTGTGTGGTGAGGGAGAAGAGTGGTCACTAAGGGGGACCAGTCACAGAAGACCAGGAGGGATAAGACATGACCAGAGTGTGGTGAGGGAGAAGAATGGTCACTAAGGGGGACCAGTCACAGAAGACCAGGAGGGATAAGACATGACCAGTGTGTGGTGAGGGAGAAGAGTGGTCACTAACAGATCCAGTCACAGAAGACCAGGAGGGATAAGACATGACCAGTGTGTGGTGAGGGAGAAGACTGGTCACCAACAGATCACTCAAATGGAAGAGTATGAAGTAATTTTTATTTTGTTACAAGATGACAGGGCTTGTGTGGGTTGGGTTACTTATAGGGCTTGTGTGGGTTGGGTTACTTATAGGGCTTGTGTGGGTTGGGTTACTTACAGGGCTTGTGTGGGTTGGGTTACTTATAGGGCTTGTGTGGGATGGGTTACTTATAGGGCTTGTGTGGGTTAGTGTACCTATAGGGCTTGTGTGGGTTGGGTTACTTACAGGGCTTGTGTGGGTTAGTGTACCTATGGGGCTTGTGTGGGTTGGGTTACTTACAGGGCTTGTGTGGGTTAGTGTATCTATGGGGCTTATGTGGGTTGGGTTACTTACAGGGCTTGTGTGGGTTAGTGTATCTATGGGGCTTATGTGGGTTGGGTTACTTACAGGGCTTGTGTGGGTTAGTGTATCTATGGGGCTTATGTGGGTTGGGTTACTTACAGGGCTTGTGTGGGTTGGGTTACTTACATGGCTTGTGTGGGTTGAGTTACTTAACCACTGTGCTGCGCACCTTTAAAATATAACATTCCTGTAGAGCTCCAAAAATAAATTCTTTGCAAAAAAATATTTTCTTTTCTTATATTGTTAAAATGCATTCTCTGATCACAGGAATATATGATATAATATATGAAATAATGTGTAATTATTTCATGTTATTTCGTGTAATATATGAAACGTATATACCGTAGTTAAATGTGTGGAACTTCGCTATTCTCAAAAATACGGAGCTCATATATGGTGACACATATATTATAATCTTAGATCAACCAGTGTTCATGTTGTTATTGCACTATATACGCATGTTATATATCACTATCAACATTTATATGCACCATAACATACTAATAAGCAGTTCTGGTGGGTATGACGATAAAATCAAAACACAGCACGGAGCCACAAGCAGACGACGCCAGCAGTCACATGTTGCAAGACAATGCCCCCAATATCCTATCTTGAGATTATCTTGATTATCCTACACATCTCACTATGACTAGCTACAAAGCTACTGTTATTATCACATTTCTGTCACAAAATCCTGAATATGAATCTATTTCCATAACAAAATGAACAATAGTGAAGGAACATAAGGTAGTTTCATGATACATAGATGCAGGAAACAATGGCTGGGTGCTGTGTCTATTCCTCAGGCTGTGACTACCATAAACAGCATTGTGTTCACTGATATCTGAACATTGTAATATAGTGTTTATGACAGTCAGGATCATCTATAACACTATCAACACAAAATAATTTAAATTACCTATTTTATTCATCATTACTAAGTGGTGCTGCGGCCCCTAGCTGCACAGCTGTGCTGTGTGCGGCTCCTGCATGTGCCGGCCTTGGTCGCTCTCTCAGTATTAAGGCTTTCACAGCCAGCACGGATGCTGATGATTTTTTTCAAGATGGTGTCTGTTTACAGAAGTCCTGAGACACTGGATATGAGCCCCGTGTACCTGTGGGAGTTTTGAATCACTCCCTATTCCTAAAACGCCACATGGCACTCTGCGCACCCTCGATCCAGTGGCACAAGGCGCTCTGTGCAGGGCAATGGTTAAAAGGCTTGTGTGGGTTGGATTACTTATAGGGCATGGGGAGCTGATTAAGTGGAACATCAAAATAATCAATTGAACCTCAATAGACATTCCAAGTAAAGGTAAACATGTTCATGAAAAATTTCTATATTTACTTCAATGGAGTGAAGTAATGATCACTAGAGCTAAGCGATTTAATAAAGCAGAATATATCAGATTTCTTACCTGCAGTGTCTGAACAAAGCTGTTGGAGAAAATACTAAACAAGGTGATATTTTGAAGAGGCTATTTAATTTGGAAACAACATAGAAAAAATGGAGAATGTGGAGGTATCACAGTGCTGACGAAAGAAATCTTTCTTGGGTGAGCCTTTTATGTCTTCCTGAAACTAGTGTCTCCAGGGCGTGTTATCTACTAGGTGCCATCGGTCCCGGAGTTCTATGGCCTACCGGGGACCAGAGCCCGAACCTGGTCTTCTCACCGAGGTACAGGGAGATGTGGCATTTATATATAAAGTTATTAATTTATGCCACCACCAAGAGAAGAAACTCATGCACAGGCACGGTAGAACAAGTATTACAAAAAAGTAACCTTTGTGCAACTCAATGTCTGCCGGATACACTGAGAAAATAATGTGTTCAAATAAACACTGCACAAAACGTGGCAATGAACAGGACTTAGTGTAAAGTAATTTTTGTGAAACAGGAATGAGCAAATGCCATTTTGTTTGTAGTAACTTGTATAGACTACCTTATACCACACTACAATAATTTTACTAGTTTGGTGGTTTACCCCCTTGAAAGGGAAATGGGGCATTGACAAGGCTACATATGTGTCCATATACAGTTACATTGTAATGGCATGTGTATATGTAATATACATTTATGGACATAGCTTTCCTGTTTTTCAACCATTGGTGCTTTATATATTGTAGATGATACTTTTCTGAATAGATTCTTGATAATGCATAACTTTAATCAACTTATTCAATTTCACAGGAGTTTGCAACTTCATGGAAACCCGTTTAGAGTGCCAAGAAGAGCTATTCTGGACAAAGGTACTCATGAAATCCTTGACTACCTGCGCTCAAGAATTGTTACTGAATAAATGGTAGACAACAAAGGACTACACTAGAATTCAAATTGTATTTAACCCTTAAAGGTCTGTTATCATCATCCGTCAATCCTGGGCTAATTGGTTATTGTCATTTGTTGATTTTAGCCATCTGACAGTTTTTATACAAAAGATGTCGATATACTTAGAATTCATCTATATGGATGCAATAGTTTAGCTAGACTCATGAAAAAATTATGTTAGAATATTTAATTGCTTACTGTGTGATAAGGTTATCTTGCACTAGTGACATGCAATTATCAATAAAGCACATTATCTTTTCTGCCAGTGTTTGAATGTATTTCACGATGACGCTGCCAGACAGAATAGCAGCAAAACACTTGTGTGTGTGTGTGCCAGGGACACGTTTGTGTGTTATATAGGTGCATATTTTACATTGTAGGCCCATATATATAGTGTACTCATTGTTTTTTGTCAATTATGTGTGCATAAAATAGTTATTCAATACAAAAAATATATAATGTAAACTAAAAACTGAAATGTAATGTAAACTAATATGTGAAACCAAGAACATAAAAAGCCATCCAACTTGATCATTCCAACCCTTTCACCCGTACATATCTGGTGCTCATCGACCCCACCACCCAGCTACTGTGTGCACCTCACGTAACCATCGACCCCTCCACCCAGCTACTGTGTGCACCTCACGTAACCATCGACCCCACCACCCAGCTACTGTGTGCACCTCACGTAACCATCGACCCCACCACCCAGCTACTGTGTGCACCTCACATAACCATCGACCCCACCACCCAGCTACTGTGTGCACCTCACATAACCATAAAAGAAGGTTATTTTCTGGGGGGAGCCCCTTTGGCTACCTGGAACTATCCAGGCTGATGTGTATATCCCTAAACTTTGGCATCAGTCAGTGTGAATGGAGTTCTAGGCCTACCGGGGACCACGAGCCAGAACCTGGCCCTCTCAGAGAGGCAAAAGGAGCAATGGCCTATAGAGTGGCACATGGGATTTGTAGCATTCTGTATCTGCCATCGTCCGGAACAGGCACCCAAAAAGGTAAGCGCTTCAAAACAAACTTCTATTTTGGGGGTGAAAATGACTAAAATAGACAAAGGAGTGGACAGAACTCCCGCACCGCATGTCTGCGCAGTTCCCCCCTCCCTTGAAGGAGGAGCCCCCCAGACCCCCACGCAGGTGATCCAACCTGCAGTTCTTTGGCTGATGTGATTGTGGCATGGACGTGTGGCTCCCGCTTTAGACTCTGTTGTACTCTACCTTTGGTCCAGTACTGCTCTTACGGTGGCATGCGGGCAGTTAGTAATATTCACAGGTACTCGGGCTGCATGTGCTTAGGGTTCCCTTCCCGGGGTGCCCTCTAAGTACTGCCCTTGGGGATTGGGGTTATCTTCTACAAGTCATCTTGGGGTCTACCTTTTTTGGTCTTTTATTGCTCGGCGATTGACTGCCCCGAGAGTTTTGAGGGGTTTTCACCCTTGTTTACCTTGGGGTAAGTGGTAGTTTTTGCACTGGTGTGGCACGGGGTACTGCATAGCTAGTTTTCACCTATAACAGTGACCGGCTCTGTTCCTCCTGGGTACGTTGTCCTCTTGCGAGTTTTTTTTTCCCCCTTTTTGTTTTTGCTTGGTGGGGGTCTGCCTTGATGTGTCTTTTTCCAGTTATATTAGGATTTGACCTTCTGCTTTTGGTGATACCCCGTGCTTCACCCTCATGAATGGACACATCCCGGGGGGTTCAGCTTTAGCAGTTTATTTGGCAGCATTGGGTACCAGTTAGCAGTACCCTGCCTGGGCTTACTCTTAGCAATACCAATCTAGGGTCCCTGGGAAACCCCGCAGGTCCACATGGGGTCCGATGGATGAGACCCCTGGGTCTCCTCTCGCCTTGTGCGAGTTTAAGGGTTGTTCATAGTTTTTGCCTCCATCATGCTGCCTACTGGGTTGAGTTTAAGGGTTGTTCATAGTTTTTGCCTCCATCATGCTGCCTACTGGGTTGAGTTTAAGGGTTGCTCAGAGTTTTTGCCTCCATCATGCTGCCTACTGGGTTGAGTTGAGTTTAAGGGTTGCTCATAGTTTTTGCCTCCATCATGCTGCCTGCTGGGTTGGTGACACCTTTAATCCTGAGTCCTGCGAGCATTGTTGCTTGTTTGTGACTCAGTTCACCCAATCTACTGATGACATTATTTGGGTGCAGGCAGCTCGTGCATTGCAGGATAGGTTTAGGTTGCTGCAACATGCTAGGTTGGTTGCTTCCCCGGATGCCCCGAGGCTGCCCTGCTTTGCTTATAGGGAATCAGACTTGGGGGTGTTGGTCGTGTCGGCCTTGGTTCAGTCCGCACCTCCTCGTTCTTCCCCTGCCATGGTTCATTCTGTCCCCCCTCCCCCTGCTTCCGTCTCCTAAGCGTCTGAGGGCTTCGGGGTCGGGGCAGGGTTCAGAGGTTTCCGAGACTCGGGCAGTATCGAGGGTTGCCCCTTCTGGGGGTGGTGACGCAGGCATTAGTGTGGGTTCCTCCAGCCGTAGCATCGGGGTCTGACCAGTGGCCCCCTTCTCTTCCTGCTTTTCTGGCTGCTCCGGCTTTTTCTTGTGTGGCCGGGGCTTTGGAGGATGACTCGTCCCCTGGGCCTGATGTGGAGGTTCCCAGGGTTGGGGAGGGGCTGACTTGGGGGCCCCTTGGGCCCATTGAACTCCACCTGGGATTTCCAATTATCAGAGCGTTGCTTTCTGTTACAAGGAGTGGGGGTTTTCCTTCCTCCCCTCTGCGTAGGAGTTAGTTTGGGCGTCGGCCCATCCCCGGGTTTGGTTCCGTATCCCTTCGGGTTCGTTGGTTCCATCCTTCCTGTGGGTAATTTTAACCGCTTCAGCAGGAAGAACTTGCATTCGAGCCGGTTCTTCCTGCCAAGGCTTCTGGGTCCCACCAGCAGGCCTCCTTCTCTGCCTTTTCCCTAGACTCGCCTTTTCTTCAGGGGGTAGAGGGTATGGAGGACTGCTCTGCCCTGGGTCCTGGGTTGGAGGATCCCGGGGCTGGGGAGGAGTTGACCTGGGGGGCTTGGACCTCCCTTTGTTGTTGCAGGGGGAGGGATTTTCTTACCCCCCTTCCCTGTACGAGTATGATTTGGGGTCGACTCCCCCCAACCCGGTTCGGTTCTAGGTTCCGTTGGGTTCCTCGGCTCCTTCATTCCGGAGGTCTTCTCATATTTCACCTAAGGAGGTTTGGGAGGTGCTTGCTGCATACCTCCTGCATACCTCCTGCAAAACCTGGATTCTGCCTCTGTGATGGATCCATCCACGTTTGAGTTGGTTCTTCTTCAATGTATTGACTGTGTTTGGAGGTTCCATAGTCTTTCTGGCTGGCAGACTGCCCATTCTTTTCTTTGGGGCATGGCACGGGTTTTGTCTGACCTGCATGCTTGAATGGCAGTAAACTTCTACCGTTCTTCAGGTTTACCCGGGGGGCGAGTTTGAGTGCCTTAATGTGTGCTTGTTTGTCCCTGTCCTTCCTCGTGATGTTGGCCTTGTGCTGCTGCACGTGCAGGTTCTTACCCTTTAGGTATCTTCGGTTGCTGAGGATTTGTGCACCCATGAGCATTTGGCTTCAGTCTTGTGCTTCTTTTCCCTTCTAGAGAATGAATAATAATATATCTCCATAAGAATAGAGATATGGAGTCATTGAATGCCAGGCCTTCGTCTGGTGCGCTGGCCACAGCGGCTAGAGAGTCTGCAGCACTGTTGAGGCTGTTTGCGCTGATTCTCAAGGACACAGTGTCTCGCCTCACGTGCCGTCAAGCTGTACTTGCTTTTTCTTTAGAATCTGCCTGGGCCCTGACTCTTGGGTTTTTGTTGCTGTTTGTGGAGACTGTTGTCACGCAGTTTTTGCAGGTGGCTTCATCTAGTTGTCGTCCTCTGTCAGCCTTGTTGCTTCTTCGGGGGTGCCCGTTCTCGGCCTTCTCGGAAGGGTCGTGCCAGGGCTCGGGATTCCTCCGGTCAGGGTGGTCCATTCGTGTCAGCTTATGAGCCAGTGATTCTTTCGGAGCCGGCGTCGTCTGGTCGGCGCAATGATCGCTCTGCTTGTCGGTTGTTAGGGGCGTCGACCTCTTTGCGGGTCGCCCTGTTGATGGAGCCATTGGTGGGGGGGAGGCTTGCTCTGTTTGCTCATGCTTGGGCCCACGATTCGTAGGCGTTTTTGGGTCATCTCTTCAGGCCTTTGGTGGCGTTGGATGGTACCTCCTCCATTGGTGGGTTTGGGGCTAGTGGGGCAGGCTTCTTCCCCTTCGCTCCATCGGGTCATCTCGGAGTGGGTGTGTTTGGGCATTGTCGAAAAGACCCCATCCCTCAGGTGGGTTTCCCACCTGTTTCCAGTACCGAAACGGGACTGTGCAGATCTATGGTTCATTCTGGACTTGTCCTGTCTGAACCCCTGGATTTCTTGCCCCTTCTTTCAGATGACCACTGTCTCAGGTCCGACTTCTGTTGGGGCCGGATTCCTCGATAGTGTCCCCTGGACCTCAGGGACGCGTATTGGCATGTTTCCATTCATCCGGGGTTCAGGGACTGGTTATGTTTCGTGGTGAGGCATCAGGCTTACCAATTTTGTTGCCTTGTTTTTGCATTGAATCTGACACCTCACGTATTCACGAGTCTTACCGGGGTTGTAGTGACCTGTCTGCATCTGCTAGGGGTTCTGGCCTACCTCTACTGCTGACTGGTGTGGGCTACCAGCTGGTCTGCTTGTCTGCTCGCCACGGGTGTGGTTCTTTCCTAGGTCACCGGGTTCGGGTTCCTGGTGAACTGGAGGAAGTCCCATCTGGTTCCATCCCAGGTTTGGACGTAGCTGGGTTTTGTCTGGGACTCTGTCTCTTGCGATCGCTGGGTTCGACCTCCGTGTGCCTTACATCTGTTGCCTTCTCTCAATGTGTTCACGGATGCATCATCTCTCGGCTGGGGATTTGTGACCAGTGCTCACCAGGCCGGCCAGTGACGGTTATCTTGAGAGGGATATCTTGAGATGATTTCGGGGCTAAGTGTCCCCGTTGCCTGGTCCTCGACCAGGTGTCCTTTTTGTTACACACCCCCAGGAAGCAGCCCATAGCAGCTGTCTAACTCCCAGGTATCTATTTATTACTGGGTAACAGGTGCATCAGGGTTAAAGGAAGTAAAACAAAACCTCTTGAAATACCTGAGGTAAGGCACCTAATCTTGATGGTCCAGCCTCAAAAGAATGAAGTCCTGAATACACCACAGATGCAGCTAGGCAGCACTAGGGTGCACCCAGGGAAGTAATTCTGAATGCATGCAGTTGTAGGCACAAGTTGAGCCAGGTCCATGAAACAAGCTGGATGAAAACATGTTCATGAAGCTTGCTAAAAATCTGAAGAATACCGAACAAATGGTCCGACAGGATGCACAAGTCAAAGGATCGCCAGCAGTTAGCTTGATGCAGTGGAACCCATGCGATTGGTTGGCGACCCATAATCACTACAGCAGACACCCATAGCTGACCACTTCAGCGACACAATTGTCTTGGGAGATCTCTGAAGCTCTGAGACC